ACCTAAAGGATTCTATGATTCTTCCTTTTCTTCTTTTCCTTCCTTTCCTTCCTTCTTTCTTTTCTTCCTTCCTGTTTTTCCCCTTGTTTCTTCCTCTTCTTTCCCTTTCTTCCTTTCTTCCTTCCTTTATCTCTCTTCTTTCTGTCCCTTTTCTTTCTTTCTTTCTCTCTCTCTCTGCTTTTTCTTTCTTCTTCCTTTCTTTCTCTTCTTTCTTCCTTCATTTATTGAACCACTTTGATCTCAACCCATGAGGTTTTTCCCACCTTTGCTCTTCCTTTCCTCTTCTCCTGTCCCATCAGGAGTGGGGGAGGCTGTTCAAGTGAGGGAGCAGCTGTGTGGTGCTTAGCTGCATACCAGGGTTAACCCACAACAACATGGAATAACAAAAGGCAGGAACATAGACACTTCAAATAAATAGAAATTATATTCATGTAAAAGAGTATAATTTTTTTTTCACATGATAACTGAAAAAAAGCCATTTTCTCCCCCATACTAGGAGCAAAACAAACTTTTTTTAAAAAAAAAATCTTTTATACTATACAAGGCAGAAGAAACTGAAATAAACACAGTTTTACACACTTGCCAAACTGTCCTGTTATGTATGTTTTCCTCTAAAAATTAAGAGGTCATAACAAGGACTCATACTAAGGAGCAATACTGTTCTCTAAATTTTCACACATTAATTCTCTTTCACATCCAACAATTCTCCCAGAGTTGCTACAAAATGTAAATACTTATACCCAGACTAACACAATACTTCTACTGAGTGAGCAGGTGAACAGTTAAGACTCTATCCAAGACAAAGTTTAAGCTAAAATTAGATAACAGTATATAAGCTTGTTAAGTAGGCACCTAAAACTCCATTATCATCAAAGATCACTGAAACCAAGGTCTTGATTATTTTATGACAGAGGCTTCCAGGATTACTGGAGATCCCCTACTCTGTCCCATCTGCCTTCCATCCACTGCCCAAAAAGTTATGGGTCTTCCATCTGTCCTGTGTCATATCTGCTAGCTTTGTATGGAGCTGTCAGATATGCCAGGACATCCTCAAAACAGTAGGCACATATGAACAACTGCATTGAGTTGGAGCTAAGAAATGGATTCAGGAGGATCAGCCACAAAGTGTCTACTTTAAGATGAACTGGATTGCTCTAGGCTACAACTGACTACAGTCATTAGGAACTTGATTCAGTTTCTCACAGCTACATGTTTACAGCCGTTTGAGTCGCCCTAAGGTACATGCCTTGCCTCCAGCTGCAACCACAGAAGTTTAGAAGCCTCCCAGAAGTCTTCTGTCCTGTCTGCCAGTCTTGTGTGGATGTTGGATATGCAGTATCCAACACTAACACTAAAACTGCATCTGTGGGCAACTGAACCAGACTTCTCCTGACTATATTAACAGCATATACACTGCAGACACCTGCACATACACACCTCAACTCAGATGCATTCATTTAGAACTGAATTCTTTTCTGGATAAATATTGTCCAGCTGGGAAGAGTTAATATGGCTTTTGTAGAATCTCACAATTTTGTAGAAGCAGAGTTCTTTAAAGGTATCAGTAAAGGTATGGATGAAGGAAATTAAAATGTTATATTCCAGTTGGGCACCCAAAAAGCTTTTAACACAAATCCTCACCAAAGGCATTTAAGGAAACCTAGTAACATCACATAAAACCAAAGGTCCTTGCAGAGATAACTAACTGGGTAAAAGATAGAAAACAGATAGGAAAAAATGGCTAGTTCCTGCAACAGAAAAAGGTCACCATGGAGTTCTGTAGGTACCTGTGCTGGACTGCTCAAGGTGCTTATGAAAGAGTTGGAAAATGAGACTAACCTGTGAGATGATAAAGTTTACTGATGATACTATGTTATTCTAGACACTGAAATAGTTCACCTGTGAAGAACTGCAGAATGCACCAGGAATAAACAGTGACTGATGATAGTGGTGACAAACAAAATTCAAGTAGATAACCCTGAAGTGGCATACATGGCAAAAAAAGGATTTCACATGTACAAGTTGAATTCTTTGCTAACAACTGCAGTACAGGATTGATATTGTGGGGTTATGACAGTCAGTTTCACAAAAGTGCCAGCTTAAACTGAGCAGTCAAATGTTAGGAGTCACAAGGATCAAAAAGAGAGTAAAGGATACAATATTGCTATTTCATCATATAAATGCATGGTTTGTTCATAACTTAAAAATTGCACAAATTGTTGTGTTGGTCCCACAGAAAAACATGATTGCAAAACTAGAAGAGACTTAACCAAAGGGCAACAAGGATGATCAAAGTTATGAGTGGGATTATGTATAGGAAAAGACTAGGTAAGCTAAAACTCTTCAGTCTAGAAAACAGATGGCTGATGTAGGACACAACAAAGAATGCAATTGTGTGTCATGAAAAGGAAGAATAGGGACTGATTGCTCCATATCTTTTCAATGTAGGACTTAAATGGTATGAAGTGAACAAATGGCAGGTGAAAAACAAATTAAAGGAAGGGTTCTTCATGAAATAGGTAATCAATCTACACTTTACCAGAGGATATTTTTGATGTCAAAGGTGTATATTTTTTCAAGAGGAAACAAGGTAAGGTTGTGGAAGAGAAATCCACTGAAAGTTACTATATGCTCAGGAACCACATAAAACTGAAAAAGGTTTTGTTTGGGAAAGCATCAAATATACTACCCCAATTTTATATCTTCCCCCAGGCAGCCACTTTATTCTATGTCTGGAGACAAGTACTGTGCTACATGGACCACTGCCCTGATCCCATTATGGCCAATCCATGTTCAAAGCATATTAAATATGTACCATACTAGAAAGCAATTACATTTTTTACTAATTGTTGCTCTAGATATGATAAAATAGTATCTTACCCCTTCTTTTCGTTCCTGTAGGTTTAAGTATTTCAAATTGTCTTCTGCTATTTCCTCTACAGTCTGTGGCCTAATCACTAATGTTTCCATGGCATCAGTGAGAAATGAAGAAACATCACATAGGTGAGCTATATAAAATTGGAAAACAAAGTTATCATGGAGAAAATAGTTGTAGCAATAAATATCCAAGTCAGACAAATGTACTGCAATACAATGTTGTCATATGATATGAGAATATAAAGTATTTGCTTAAACCATTGCAGACCTCAATCTTACATGCTTTACTGTTATAACGCTGTATTTTCCAACCAACTTTTGGTACTGAGAAAGGAGCTTCACAATTCTAAGGAATAATGTATCTCCCAGGGAACAATCCATCTATCAGGCTACAGAAATAATTCACTTTTTGAACAATCCCTGTTCTGTGTTTTCTGTGCTGATTGCTATATTTCAAGCACAAAGACCCATTTTTTCTCACCATCTACACCTTCTTCCATTTTATCTATTTTTTCCAGAAATAGATAGACCAACAACAAATAGCAAAATATTTTGCAATCTTTAACACTGTGCATTTTGACAATCTCAGTGACGAAGAACTCTATGGAATAAGGGTAGACTATTTAAGACTTCATCAAGTATTTCAGTTTGTGAAAGAAAAGTATAATATTTTTAAATTGCAACATTTCATGATGACTCCTCCAGTTACCCTCAAATCACAGAATCACAGATTCATAGACTGTTTTGGGTTGGAAGGGACCTTAAAGATCATCTAGTTTCAGAGCCCCTGCCATGGGCAGGGACACCTTCCACTAGACAAGGTTGCACAAGGCCCCATCCAACCTGGTCTTGAACACCTCCAATGATGGAGCATCCACAACTTCCATGGGCAACCTGTTCCAGCAACTCACCGCTCTCCTAGTGAAGAACTTCTTCCTTACCTCAAATCTAAATTTACCCTCTTCACGTCTGAAGTCATTACCCCTCATCCTGTCTCCACAAGCCCTTGTAGAAAATCCCTTCCCAGCTTTCTTGTAGGCCTAAGAAATTTTCCTCCCTCAAATATCAATGAAATTTTCTTCTCTGGATCAACAAAGAATTTTCCTTCAGATAAAAGAAACAAGCAAAATAGTGCTCTTTTAACATCTGGAACAGATGTGGCCAGAACAAGTGGAAGAATGCACATGGACATCAAGGGGTCTTATTTTAGGCCTCCAGCGGAAAATAAGTAACAGGTTACTTTATCTGCACTGTGATTTATGCAGCTCTCTGTACGCAAGAGTAAAATATTTCTTAAAGAGTATTTATATTAACACAAATGTCCATGAGTACAACAGAAACAAACAAAAATATACTATTCACTAAAGTTACTTACCTTGAATAGATTTTCTCAAAGAAATGACAAGAACATCATACAACTTCTGGATGAAATCATCAATTACAGTTTTCACAGGGTTGCAATTAACAGTTAAACAATCTATTCTGATGGTGCTTCAAGACAAAAGATTAGAAAATAGCAAATATTCAGTAGTATGCTTACATGTCAGTATCTCTAAGATCTATACATGTCTATAGTTTATCCTGATTTTGTAGCCCAATAAGAAAAAAGCTCCTTCATAATTCTACAAATAATAGTCATAGCTTGTTGTGAAAATTACTCGTAGTACTTCAAGTATTTATAACTATTATGCATATATAGGTGCAGTCTTATGGGGGCTAAGGTCTAATGCTCTGCTCTTCCAAACAGAAAATTATTTGATTTTATATAACTAGTGTTAGTAAACTCAAAACCTTATTTGATACCTTCCTGAGTAGGTCAAACAATAAATACTTGGTCAGCACCAATTATTTTCAACTCATGGCACTTCATAGCCACACATGGTTTCTGGCAGCCAGTTTCTACTCACCTCAGCCTGTCCTCAAGCACATGAAAACCTTCACTACTCAGAGTATCACCTAGCCAACAAGTTCTACCAGTCTATTCTCCTGCATGAAATGTCATCTCTTTTTCCTTGTTCTGAACATGATTCTCATCAGTTTAATTTGAGAGTTCTAAGCCATGCAATACACTAAACTCCATGTGAAGATATGCAAGATTAAAAGCTTACACTAGTGTCTCTTTAAACTATAAGTTAAAAAAGGTAATCTAGTGTTCCCATACAGGAATTATTTCATGCTTATACATTTACTGTCTGCTCCTAACTGTCACATATGCTCCACATCTACAGGACTTAGCTAGAAGAAATGGTCAAATATCACTGCGTTTTGTAGTACTTCTGAACCAGCCCTGAATTTTAAGGGGGTTTCCCATCATACAAAAGAAGACAGTAGAAGTTTTCAAAGAAGACTGTACAGATAAAAGGGAATAAGGGTCTAACAATAAAACTGAAAAAAAAAACCCTAAGCTTTTAAAAAGTACACCAATATTATAAAACCACTTGAAATTCTAGCGATATCTCCACATAAAATGAATATTTCTATTTTACTATTACTTTTAAAGTATCTGACAGAATACATTATTTAAGCAAAAGACTAGTTACACTATACCTTGGAAGACGTTCTGCTTCTTTCCCTCTCACTTTTAATGCTTTGAAGTTTTTTTCCCAGTCCTGTTTGCTAGACAGATGTGTCTCCACCAGAGTTTCCATATCTACTTGGCCAATTACGATCCAGTCCTTTCCAACATTATTTTTTATTTCATGGAAAAGAAATATTTTCCAGACTAGAAAACTGTTTGTCAATATTAAAATACTTTAATGTTTTCAAGCTACAATCTCTTTAACCTTTATGTTCCTTCAATTACCTACAGATTGTCTTAGTGCAAAAATCAGAATGTACAAAATAGTTTAACATATTCACACATTTAAGGATAATTAAAACAGATTCTGAACAAGAGTAAAAAGCTGTAATATGGAGGTTTCACTGGGAACTACATATGCTTTGAACTTAAGCGGTTGGCTTGACAAGGATGGATTTATTAAGCTTTTGCTTATATGCCTTGCAGAAAAGAACAATAATGCACAAATGTCAAATGCTCAGTTACTTCTGGGATGTCTGAAGCCTAAAATGATACAAATGGGAAAAGAAAAAAAAAAAAACCAAACCCAGGAGTCAGTAAAATATTGACAATACCTTGAATTGATTAGAAATGTCTGACAGCCTTCTGAACAAATCCTCTGCTTTACTGAAAGCAGTCAGGAATCCATTTGCATTTCTTTCTGTCATAACAGTGAATATAGACTTTTCCTCTGCTTCACTTACTCCCCTAAACTGATGTGGAATGGAGATGAATCTCTTCATTTCTCTGTAATACCTAGCTCGCACTTCTTCAAAAGGAGGTCTGAATTGCAACTGGCCTTGCCTAAAAAGTGAAACAAATCATACAAAAACTAACATTTGAGCCAAAATACTTTCTTAATAGGAAAAAAAAGAAAACATCTTACTTGAATGTTAGATCAATATTTATTTCTGGTAAATTCTCATTCAGTGCTTCTAAGCCCATTTGATACTGATGCTCCAAAGCCTTGTAAAGTTGATGATTCCAGTGCTGTCTCCAAGCTTTCATATCACACGATTTGAAGCCCTAAAATTTAACAATTTTTATTTTTATTTTATTGCTTAAGCTATAATGATAAGCCGAAACTGAGCACAGTACAATGTCTGGCCTTACTAAAATTCAAAGAAATATCACAACACTGGAACTCGGCACCAAGCCTTTCAGAGTTCAAGGAGCATCTGCACAACACTTTTGGACATATGGTTTAGTTTTAGGTAATCCTGCAAGAAGCAGGGAGTTGGACTTGATCCTTGTGAGTCCCTTCCAACTCAAGGCTTTTTATGATTCAATGACCAGTTTTAACATTAAGAAAATCTAGAGCTATTAACATTTATTTCCAATGAAATAAAAACACCCAGCCGAATCAAACCAGTCTTTATGGCAGGTCGGCATAACAACTTCACAGAGGTTCATTGCCCATTATTTTACTATGAGATTCTTCAAGGTTACTCTAAAATGCATGTGACTTTGCTAGAAATTAGATACAGAGCTGTCTGAATGAGAAATCTAAACCTCTACCACACCTTTTATCTTCTTATGATACATAAGCTACCTTTTAAACAGCATTTCAGAACAATCTTCTGTGTTTCCACAGAAAACCATTAAAAAGTAAGTATAAGATTTTATCTTAAAGAATTCAGATTTTAATTGGAATCTGCTACACTGCACTGTAAGAATGTGAAAACCTGTACATACAGTCATGTTTGTAAAAGGTCACTTGTAAGCCATCCAGGCTTACAAGGTTTTCAAAAGGACAACAGAAGTTAAAAAAGTAATTAGAAACTTCTTCCAGCTTAAAAAATTCTCTTGTTATTTAATGGGATAGAGATTTTCAGCCAGGGTTTTCGAGGCAGCTCAAGGTTGCTGCAGAAAGGTATACAGTTAATGTCTGCCCTACAGTTCAAGGCTGCCCTGAAAAACTCTTCCAGCAGAAAGATTCCAGAGGTTAAGAAAACCTGATATTGTCTCTGTGAAGCCTTAAGACAATTATAAATATGGCTTTTAAAGAAATATGCAACATTTTGATGTTAACAGCAGTAAGAATATACTATGTTGTAACTTTGGATAGTGAAAACAGCATACATTTGGTTCCAAGTTTTATCACTTCTAGTCAAGGATTAAAAGAAAAGTGACAGAATATAGTTAATTTTCCACAAAAAATATTCTGTAATAGCAAAACAATTTTCAAACAGATCTTAAAGCAAATATAGACTATTAATTTCAAAAAAATATTCTGACTTCAAGATAAAAATTTGCAAACTGATCTTCAAAAGAAATTACAAACCAAAAGCTGAATCAATGCACTTAGATCTATTATTCATATTATATTGAGAAGACGGAAAAAATTGTAAGGAAAATACAGTAAAAATACTGCATTCATTTGATGGGCAAATATCAACTAAAATAATCTGGGTTTGCATTAGAAAGGCTGAGAACACCACATCCATCTAACGATACAGCCCTATTATTACTGAAGGCTACAGAAAAAAATGAAACTGACTTGAATGATACTTCAAAATAGCTTAGATGAGAGTAATATCACCTAGTTACTCTGACAAGATGATATTCTTAAGCAATGTCTTACTCGATGACCTTAAAGGTCTTTTCCAACCAAAATGATTCTATTCTAAAAGTTGACAGTTCCCAAGTGAAAAACAAAAATGTGGCTTTTTCATTATTTCAGGCAGAAATGCTTTAAATTCTAAATTTTATTCATCTGTTCTATTCTGTCTGGGAATACTCATATCTGTACTGGGAATACTCGTATCGGTTCCAATTTACCTTGCATTAAGACACAAATGATTTGGTTTTCCCATTTCTTCCTCTAATCTCTGTCATCTGACCATGCATTATTCTTCTCCCGTTACTACCATGACATAAAAAAAAAATTATCCCCCTCATCTGAAATTTTACTTCACATCTGGCATCAACTAGTATATAGCCAGGTTTCCTGAGCTTGCTAGTAACTCCTTAATCAAAATGAATTGAATCATGCTATGTTTGAGTCTCAAATCTTGACAACTATTGAAAAGTCAAATGTTCACAGTTTGCAATATGATAAGGAAACCCTGCCTGTGACTCGAGGCTGGCAAAACCAGTTCTGAGCTCCTGGAGACCATCTTTCCAACGCTGCTGCTGCCGAAGCAGATCAATATTCATGAGCGATATAACCTGTTAAAATAATTTTAAAGGATAATATTTTTAAACACATTCATCACCACATAAGTGAAAGAAATGGTAAAATAAACTCTAAGTGACATGATTTCAACATCACCTGCAAAACATACCTTTTCAATGAAGTTTGTGTGCCACTTTCGTAGTTTTCTATTTTCCGTGGAAAGCCGTTCAGCAGCAGCTTGGAGTTTTTGAATATATGCTTCCAATTCTCTAGGATTATCCCACGTTATTTGAGCTTTTCCTCCAGGACCAGATTTTGAATGCTTGAAAATCATACAATCTTTGTAAGATTTAATGATGAACAAGAGTCTACCAGCTAGCATACAGGAAATGACAATATGAGAAAGATGGTTTTACTCCTAGTGTAAAACGGAGGACGTCCCTCTCGCTCCTGCACAAGAGGCATAAAAACCTGGCAAATCACAGACACGTGGGCATATCACTAGAGGTACATAATCCACTGGTGAAGGATTAAAACCAGGCTTTTAACAGAGCTTGAAGCAAATTCACTGATTTTGAGACTCCTGCCCCATACACATAAGCAGATATCTTGAGCTGACAGGACACCTTAAACGCCCCCGTTCTTCTCCGTTCTGCACAGACCCAAAAGGAAAATGTGACATTAATAATCACTGTACAACTTCACTTGTTCATCATGAAATACATCTTTTAAATTACACTGCAAAATTCCACTGACTCATAAGCAGCTTTGGGGAATTCCATTTCTCTGGGCTTTTAATCAGGATTCTGGAGTTTTTGTGCATTTTGCAGAACAGAAAATGAGAAGACAAAAGCATCTGAAGTTCCACAGTTGGACCTATTTCTAAAAGACGTGGCTTAGAACACATCTGCATCACCACTGTCATAGGGTCTGCACACTAAAGGAATCTGTGGCATAACCTTCAGCCAGTCCCCAAAAATTGCTCTGGAGGCATTATTCTCTTGCCTAATACAGAGTTTATGGTCACGTTATAATTATCCAGCCATTCTCACACTCTAAGAATGCTGGAAAAGAGCAGAGTGCTTCAAACTCATCAAACCCAGTAAACTGAAATTTATGATGCATGATGTTTCTCCAGACATAAAATATAGTGTTAAAAACCTGTAGACTGTAGTGTAATTCTTAAGTTCCTATCGTCCCTTCAAAGGAGAAAAATGCAAATTATTAAATAAATTCCTCCAAATTGTTCCACATTCCTTAAAAGAACCTAAAATTTCAAGTATACTGAACTTCCTAGCAATTATAAAACAAAAATAAAGCCTCTTCTCACAGCAACTAGATTACGTCTGAACACCAACCCAAGATAACAAACTGCATGCATAAATTAATCATCAGGTAGATCCACAGATTCTTCGTTCTTAATCTAAACCAGAAACTATCCACCTTCAAACTGTCAAAACATGAATTAGAAATATTCAAGAGAATTAAAAAATCCAGAGATGTAGTAACAGTCAAAATAGTGAAACCACTCCTGAACACTAATTTATCTCTAGAATAAAGCATATGCCATTTTTATTAAAATAGACCAAAATAATTATTTAGTACTGTTAGAACAGGAGTTACATTCCCAGCTACTAAAGAACTGACCACATTTTGGTTCACGTGTAAATTCAAACACTAAAAATAATTCCTGAGACAGTACATTACACTAATATCCAAAGCACAAAGGAGTAAGTAGTTGTTTGAATGGCAATATCAAAACGACCCACTGATTTCTGTAAATGCTAATTAAACAGATGGAGGTGATCATATGGAAAGGCTGCAGTTGAAAAGTCAAGAAACACAGAAACAGGAGCACAGAATATACACAGATACCACTGAAATTAAAAATACAAAAAGAAGGGAATGCTTTCACCTTAATTATCTGTTCAAATGCTAGAGCAGATTGTAACATCATTGGCTTCTGACTCTCAATCATTTGTTGATCAATAGAATTATAAAAGTGTGCCACCTGTAAAAATGGAGATTTACAAGAACAGATAAAAATATTTGTATGTCAATAGATGTAAAGGAAGATATGCCTGAAAGTATTGCCCAATCAATCCCATTAAGAAATAAGAATTAACTAGTAAAATGCTTACAAAAATAAAGTAGATATGCAATGCTAACATGATTCTATCTTCTAGTGATGAATTCTAATAGCTAAAAAGACTGCTACATACGTCTGAGGTGATTATACTTCACCTTAAGTGAAATAGGTTCAGCCTCTGATTTATTGTAAGTGGAACAGTTCCAGTGTTTTATGCAAATATAGGCATCTAGTGCCGTTTCAGAGGCATTCAAGTACCCATGATATCTGTTAGGATATGACACAAGACCTAAAAACTACTCATTTACTGCCAGACTGACAGCTGGATTAAGAAGGATAACCTAGAACCCAGTTTAATTGTCCACACACAGACATCTAGCACCCTTTGAGTTGACTAAGGTTTCCACTTGGGCATTTGCCAATGATCCAGATTCAGGGGTATCTTGTAGGTCATGTATCATCTCTGCCTTACCTGTGCAGGTATCTCAGATTAATGATACCTACTGTGAAACTGAACTGAGCCTGTGTATCTACTGAAGCATTTTCACCAATATATACATATATTCCCGCATCTTAAAGGAACAGAAGAAATCCTGACGTGGTCTTTCATTTGAAATGTAAGCCAAATAAATATTTATGTAGTATTGAGTGTAATAAAAAAATAACTCCCAAAGAAAACCAAAAACCACATTTCCATTAAAATACTTATTCACATATTTTCAGTTGAAGACTAGCAACAGTGAGGACAAGCTGGTCCATTTTATTACATTTTCACTTAGCTATAATAATCAGAAACTGAGACTAGAACCAAGAAATCAATGAATTACTTATCTCATTATGAAGATTCATACAGTAACTTCACATGGCTTTAGAATTACAATTCATTTGGTTTCAAAGAAGACACGTCCCAAAATTGTAAAGCATTTTTTTACTTTTGTTTTCTTTTAAGGACTTAGCAAGAAACAAGTCAGTTTCATACAGACAAACACAGCAAAAAGCTTAACCACACAGTCTAGATCATAGCCTAGAAAAGTTCTTCTGCTAAAGCTGGGAAGTCAGAACAGGAAGTTACTATGACATTTAATCTTATACCTGTTTGAGGATGACTGCCTGTTTACAGAACTTCTGTGCAGTGTTTGCAGCATGCTGTATTTTAGCTGGTATGGCAAAGCCAAGTGCTGACAGCTGACGTACTTCCCTCAGGAGAGTCACCAAACGATCTGAATACAGTATGTTTAATGTTCCAGATTTGGGATCCAACTCCATTACAGGACTATTAGCTTGGATGCTAAACCAAAAGCATATTAAACATGTTACTTAATATCACCTGATACTAGTATTTTCTTGGGTGAATTTTATAATATAATAAAGATTTGTAAAAATGTCATTTTCTTCCATTTTTCTATGTTTATTAACATTTTAATTAACTCAGAAATTATTCCAGTAATCTTTCTCTTAATTCAAAGCCAGCGAAGACAAGAAGAAATGAACAATGCCTATTGGTTTTGCTTGCAAAGTTTTTCTGGCTTGTTAAAATACTTAACATGTCACTCACAGCTAGACAGTATTTCTCAAATACCCTGGGTCCACCACACCCCCTCAGGCAAGCTCTTTACAGGCCCCAGAATTCAGCATTGAGAAGGAGCAGAAATCAATCCAAGGACCAGGACTTGAATCACTGGAACATTCTGGTATACACAATCAGAAACTAACAAGAACATCAGCCTACATTTAGATTTTACTGCAATTTTTCTTTCTGCTGTAATAATGCTTCTAGCACCATCCTAGGCTTCTTTCATAAAAACTTCAGCTTTACTAATTTTTTTTACATTTTTTTCTCATCTTTTTCAATTTCCCATAGCAACTGCATTCCACTTCACAGTGAACCACCTCTTTCCTTTTCAATCTCTTCACATCTTTTAAAATCTCACAGTAACAAGATTTTATGGTACTCATATATTAGATGGTTGTTATATACTGGAGTGCTGAGTCTGCTTATTTGTTATATTTGAGTGTTTTTCATAAAAATAGAAGATTACACAGACGTATCAACTCCTGTATCTTCTGCAACTGTGATGCAGAAAAGCTATGTGGCCAATCAATAAAAAAAACACTTGTTAAAATATATGGTAGTACCCCATGAAGTAATGTCATTATTTTGAGAAACACAGTTAATGAGGTTTAAATTTATTTTCTTACCCTTCTTTCATCTAGTCTATTTAAACTGCAGATTGTCTTGAGAATAACAATTTGTTTGTTACTCCACATGTGTCACCTCTGTATCACAGCTATACTCGTATCTCATCTGGCTCCTAGACATTATCATTATATGGATTACAATGGATAATAAGTAGTAACAACAAGGAAACCAAACATGTCTTTCATTCCAGGTGTTAATAGGAACTGCAAGATGAGTTATTAACACTGTCCTGTATGCTTCAGCTTACCAACCAAGCCTGGTAGGATGATGAAGTGATAATAAACTCCTCTGTTTTGTTTCTCTGCTCATTCTCAATTCAGTAAATTTTTTTTATTTCCTTTGTCAAGTTCTACTGAATTACACCACGCTGGAGATTTCAGCAAAACAAATATTTAAAGAAAAATGTTATTTACCAAAGTCCTGACTTGGGATTTGATAATTCCGACTGGATATTCCTAGACCAATCATCAAATTGCTCTTGTTCATATACTTTTAATTGTTCCAGGAAAGAATGTGCACTTTGATGGAAAGTTTGAAATCCAGATAAGTCAGACAGAAGAGCCTCTGACAGCTTGATAGCATCCTCCACCTTATATATAATCACAAAGAAAAGAAGTTTACCTTCCCAGCATTAAATCAGAAAAGCAAAATCACCACAATAAAAATCAGTATTGCAAAAGATTCAGGAACCAATTAAAAAAAAACAATAATAAAACCAATAAAAGAAAAAAAAAAAAAAAAAAAAAAAAAAGTGACTCCTGAACTGTGTCCCAGATTCCCAGATATGCAAATTCCCGTTACAGTAAGTTGGGTCTGAATAAGTTGTCCACCACAAGTGCCTAGTACTATGGAGATATCCCAGAGTGCTCTACTTTGTCTTTAGATTGTTCTTCATAAAGATACAGATCTCCCACGAATCCTTTGTTGTATCTATGAGGTCCATGCCAATACTCAAAGGTGTTTCAAATGGGATTTCACATCTATGTGTGGACAAATTAATCAAAAGCCTAATCAACACAATCAGTGCAGATGTGAGGGGCTAAGGTAGACACACAGTTGACACACATTAGCTGAACTGCTCCCTAGGTCTTCAGCAGACCAAGCAGAAATAACTGAGATCTGAGCTGCTGCTGTTCTTTCTCTAGGACACAAAACAAAGTAACGCCTTTAAGACCTCCCCCCTTTGTCACACTCAGCTGAAATGGGCCCTGAAGATTTCTGCAAATCACAGGCGAATGCCAAAAAAATGGGCTAACAGTTATTCTGGGATAAGTAACTTCTATTCTCATTCACATCTAGAGTTACTATAAATGGCATCTACATTTACAGAAAACATTTTGCTTTTAACTAGTCAACGCTTTCCGAAAAAAGTTCCAGAGTTTTCAGCTAAAGCATAAATACAAGTTAACAAAAATAATGTAAACTAAGAGTCAAATATTTTGTAAGCTTGTTCTGTTGTAAGAGAACACAGAACCGTTTGGCATTTACTTTTACAAGAGTCTCTGCAGAAAATTCCCTGGCAAGCTGATTCAAAAAAGCACTACCAAGAAATCCCTTTGATTTCAAGGGGACACTACACAGTTTAGTAATAACAAGTGAGAATTAGGATATCAGAATCTTGCTACTTGTAAATGTTAAATACAACTTTTAAATGCAAACTGGAGGGTAAAATTTTACAAAAATGCCTCCTCTGAGAATTTTGGTCCTTTCTTTACAAAAAAAAAAAAATCCATAAAAAGCAGGCAGTCCAGTGTATTACAAAAAAATACTGTCTTCTGAGTCAGTTATTAAAATTCAACTTAGCAAGCAGCACCACTGATAAAAAAAAACTTGACTATATAACTCCAGGGAAGGAAACAATTTTTTCTGTGGGGAATTCCCACAGAAATCTCAAATACCATGTTCTACATTCTATGATGATACTGTGCCTAAACAATAAAAGTATCTGTTACCTTCAGCTCCAGCTGCTGTACCCATACAATATTATTGACAACCTCAGAAAGGTTTTTGCCTGACAGTGGTCCAGAAACATCACCAGGAACACCTTGGCATCGAGTTTCAAAGTCTGCCTGATAGTCTAACACAAGCAGAAGATGCATGTTAGGTCAGAAAGCTAATAGAATAAGCCTAAAATTACTGCTGTAGTTATAAAAACACACCAGGGATACTGACGTAATTCTAAAAGTAAATAAAAGAACTCTAGTATTTGAAAAAAAAAAAAAGTAATGCAAATTAAATACTTTTAAATACATTTTTACCTTTGACATAATCTTGAAGTCTTGCTAGCAATGTTTCCCTTTCAAAAAGCAATTCTTTTCTTATATTTGGATGCTTTATCAGTTCCTTGTATTTCTGAAACGTTTGAAAGAGCTGGAATAGGAAGTTCAAATAATTAAAAGCATATTCTGACACTACTCATTAATTAGTGTTGTCCATAAGCACTGTCTTTGGCTCCAAGTACTTATTCTTGTGCTCTAAAGTGACTACTTAAGAACTCAAAAACTTTATCTTTAGGAAAGTTTTGAGACTACAAAAATACACATACCTGCTGAGGACTGTCCTGAATTTCTGAAATAAATTTCTTCAATTTGCTTGCTATTTTTCGTTCTGCTGGTGCAATAATTCTTTCATACTGAGAGACTGCTGCTTTCCACAATGGCTAGAAATAATGAGTTCATAGATTAATTTAGGACTACCCACATATATCATAAAAAGTCACAGAAAGAACATGAGTAAATTAAAAATAAGCATTGTACCTCTGTGTAAGGATTATAGTGTACAGGATTTAGGCCAGCAAAGGGTTCAAACACTTGGGCAAGATGTAAATAATTTTGTTCTCCAGCTGACAAAAAAAGCGTAAGTTTTTCATGCAGTGTTCTAACAGTCAGCACCTATAACAGAAAGAAATGGTTTATATAACCTACATATTTTTACATAAAACTTACATTTAGAAGCAAACATGGATTATGGAATGCTATCTGACTCTGAAAAGGCTATAAAAGTGTTTTAATCCCCTTTTTTTAACTTAAAACAATGTTGTTTAATTCTTTGTCAAATGAAATAAACGTGTATGATTCAAACCTCTACCTCATCAAGACGTTTGCCAAATTTGGCTAATGATTCAGGGAAATATTTCTCCTTTTTCCATGGATGTGGAGTATAACATTGCCACAGGTGTCCTGTTAGGTACTCACAGGCTGACACCCACTGCTCACAAATCAAGATGCCAGCCTTTAGATGTTCTTTAACCTTGTGAAATGTATCCTCCCATAAATTCAAAGCTGCTAATTTTCTCTGAACACATCTACCTAAGGAGCCACCTAGAACACAAATAAGTACAAAAAAGCAATATGTTATGTTTGTTTAAAATAATTCCTTTAAACAGTACACCATGTTCCAATCACTTTTTTAAAGAACTGGTCTAATATCTTGATTTCAAACCACACAAATGCATCAATAACTGATTATTTTGTTTCAGGTTCAACAAACATCTCCACATTAGACAGAGGCTGGTCCCACATCAGAACCTGATGGATTTGGATTCTAGGATCCACACTGCAGCACCTGTATCAGCAGTAGCGGCAGCAGCTGGCTGCCCCCAGCGATCCTTCACCTCATGAACACACACAGCCCCAGCAGCAGCAAACTCACTGTCTTACGCCTGTCTCAGAACATGGCACTGCTGTCAAGAGGATGAGAGAAGCAACCTCTCTGCATGCCCTGCTCTCAGCCACACACAGACTGTATCCTACAGACTGGGGGGTTATGTAAATAAATGTTCTCCTCCGAGAGAAAGACAGGGAGTCAAACAGAAGCAAGGCAAATCCAGTCCACAAGGTGAAAGGTATGCAAATCCATCCTGTTATTATCTATCAGCTTACCAAGAATGTGTGAAGGCATTTACCAGAACTGGCTGCATTATTGGGTACTATAAGGCAAATAATATTCCTGGATCATAATTACAAGAAGAAAGCACCTTACTGATGTAAGCTGTCACTGGTGCCTATAAGAGGAAGAAGGTCTCTACTCAAGGATTCGTTTTACTTTTTCTCAATTGTTCATTTAATGAAGGCTGCATAAAGGTTTACCTGTTACATCCAAGAGATTTTGCATGCGTGGCTGTGGATAAGGATCATGTTCTGTTTGTCTCCACACACTATCTACGGTGTCCTTGGTAGTCTCCACCAAATCCACAACTTCAAGTAATGAGAGACTATCCAAGTTGTGATAATCCTAGAAAAAAATACCCTTAATACAATTACTTTGCAACTAGTACTGTAGAGACACTGATAATTTTCTGAAGCTGGCAACTTCTATAGTTTTCTAGATTTTATTGATTAACAGACTATTGCCTAGTCTTCTCAAAAACCAAGCATGTATGTAAGTTCACTCATGTAAGGAATGCATTGATATCCAAAGCACTATTCAGGACAAAAATTTTGCATGCTAGCATTCACTATTATCACCTGCATTTTCAGTTTTCCTTTTTATAATTTCATGAGTCAATTTCTAGTTCATAAATTGTAGCATGCTGTTCTATTTCTGCAGAGGCTCTCAGTATTCAAAAGTCAAACCTGCTCTCAATTAAATGTTGGCACTCCCCCACACCATTGTCACTAGAATCTACACGAATGACACTTAAACAAAATTTTCCACAAGAATAAAAAAATAATACCTCCATATTCATATATTTGAAAAGACTGTACATATACAGACATGAATTTCATAAGAAGAGTGTTCTTTACTGAGTTTCAAATATACCACTGATCACACAAAAGTAAACATACTTTTGCAATGTCCTCAAATAGGTCTTGAAAATAGGAAGCTCGCTCTTTACTACACCATTTACTTCCATGACGAGCACACTCTACCCAGAACTGAAATTCATCTGTTGGTGTGAGGATAGCTGCAAATAATAATGGAAAATGTTTAAATATGAAATACAAAAATGGTCACAAAATATTTTGTTGGAACATACTTTGCAAAGCAAATGTTTACTGTGTGGTTATGTAATCCTTCAACTTCTGACTCTGACGAGATGTAGTATCAAGTTCAGGCCAAGAGACCAGAGTAGTCATCACCAATTCCAATCTACTCACTACAACCTCTTGTATTTCACACACTGCAGTCACTGGGATAATGAAGGTTGAAAACTCAACCTATAAATACATTATTTACTCATTATTTAAAATTAACTATAAAAGATGTAATTGTAAAACAAACCTTGCACATCATCTTCACTGAATTTTGTTCCTGTGTAATTAGGATCTGATCTTCTAAGAACTGTACTCAAACCAGATTCAAGGTCACTTAAAAGTTTCTGGAGTTTGGGATCAAATGTTTTACTCCATCTCTCATCCTGCAATGAAAATTTTCAAAGTTGTGCCTCACGTGATAGAACAATTACTATTTTCCTACCATTAATCTTAAAAAAATAAATATTCAGATTAATTGTAGTAACCAACAACATGATGAGAAAATGTAATTATTTATTTTTCTTAAAATAAAGAAAAAGCACCTCATTCTTTTCATTTAACAATTCAGAATAATACTGTAAAATAATTTTATCATAAATCAAAAGGCAGTTGTTGGATTTATATGAATTCTCTTATGTTAAAGATACTTGTGATCTGGTACTACAGTAGAACTTGGAAAGTGCTAGAATCAAATGTGTTTTTTTCTAAACTTATTTTATTACTATTATGACATACAAGAAATTAAAATATTTAAAAGCTGAAACTCAGCCTGGTAAATACAACAAGTTGAAATACAGCCATGGTCATTGTTTTTGACAAAAAAAATCCACAAAGGAAATATACTCTTTAATGGAACAGAAGCAAAAGCTTCAGAACATTTAAAAGAAGCACAAGTATGAAAAATGCAGCTGTAGAAATTAATCTAGAGTCGAGCCACATCTAGATATCTGCCACATGTTGAAGCATTATAGTTTACACAATACAGACCTACGTATTTCATACAAAATGTTAAGAGTATCTAACACAAGGAAAGGGCACAAGACTGCAATTATGAGTGGAAAGGAGCTGTTGTTTCCACTGTTAGTGTGGAAAAATGTTTATATCCAGGATAAAAAAAAATTTCCTATTAAAAAAATTTCCTTTCAACTAACAATGTTAAACACCACTACCCAGTACATTCCACATCTCTAGTCAGGCATATGTATGACCACAATTCACCTCTCATCCTTACTGATATGAAGTGAAGTGCCTTCTTTAACTTAGAACTATCACCTATTATTTAAGCTCATAAAATATTTTGGTTTTAAAACATAAAATAGTTGTCTCACAATAGTTAAACTATGGAATTTCAACGTTTCAAGAAAAATCTACAGAATGTTTAAGTTGGTATATTGCTCACCTGTAGTAACGCTGGTGCAAAAACTTGTCGTACAGTTTGATAAAGGGTGTTGATTGGTGAGTCTAGCATAGATGACACAAGAATATTACTGTGAAGGTTGTCTTCTGTAATTACATCAGGTCGCAGCTTGAAGAACACCAACACGTTACTCTTTGAATCAGCAGCTTCAATCTGTAACAATCAAGACAGGATTTGTTTAGAAAACTGTCATTGCCTGCATAGCATACTGAACTCTGTACACCAGTTACACAAATTCTTTACATCAAGAAAAAAAATCTAGCATTCCATATTACTACCTATGGTAGTATCTGACTTGCACAGAAAGTTAAAACTGTTATTGTATTCATTCCTGAATTCATAGGAACCTGAATTCCAACATCAAATAGACAACGTCTATTTAATTATAAAGTCTCTGTAAATACAATAATTGCTTAAACCATTTTGATTTTTAAAATTCCACTTACCACTTTCTGGAGACAAAACAGCAGCTCTAATCTTGTGCTTAGAGAAAACGAAGTATAAATTCATCTTTTCTAATTGCATTTTTACACTGTGTAACTTTGGGAATACTTTTCTAAATATAAATAAACACCAAGTCTTCAGCCTAAAAACCTACAGGCATCATTTTACTGAGACTTTATAGCCCCGATAGGCATCCAATCTGCCACAGCTGCCGACAGTGGATTTGGATATCAGACAGTGCTTTAGCAGCACACCTCAAAAACTGGTAGAGGTAGAAGTTCATTCTTGCATGAGCATAGACTTCACAGACTACACAGCAGATTTCACCAGGTGCGTTACTGGTCCACACAGCAGTTCACATGTTAACAACCTGTAACAGTAGCCTTCAGTGTAGAAAAAGACCTGTCACCGACACAACAAAGACCACATCCCCGATCTCACAGCAGAAATACGGGATGCACGTTGAGACCCACGCTTTGCTTGCACGCTCTGCCTGCACGCTCTGTGCAGCGGTCACCACACCATGTCCGGACTATGTGGTGACGCCCACTGCACATCACACCCACCACTATGCCTCGGCCAAGTCACTCGTTGAGCACACACACTTGTAGCAGGACATTTCACACAGCAAACCTCACACACCTGGACACATCCGTCTGAAAAGTGCATGACCTTGACAAACACCCAGCTTGAGACTAGTCAAGCACCTGCTGACGTGCTCCGTTTCCTGCAGGGCCGCCGGCAAGTCAACCCTTCCAGCGACCCGCACGCAGCCTCACCGGGGGCACCCCACGCAGCGGCCTCGCCGGGCGCCTGCAGCTCGGCGCGGTGGCATCCCCACG